CCACTAATAAATTTAATGAATTTAATGAATTCCAGCAGATTTTTGTACATCGGTTCATCGTCAATATTATATACAAGCAGACAAAAGTTTGTGACAGAATAATTTACCGAAAAATTTAAAGTTGGAGAAAAAAAAGTTTTTTAAGATCCTAATTGTACAAAGATGTTCACAAGTTTTAGCTACGATTATATCTTTTTTTTGCACTTGCTGAACTGTTGAGAACCTGACACATAAGGCCCCAAAACGACTCGTTTTCTTCATAGCGAGAGATGGACATTTACTGGACATCTCATATGACGACGAAGTCAGTTTCTTTTAGCCCCGTATGTACGAAATGATATAAGATTTACCCATTTATTTTTCAGTTGCCTGGTCCTGCTATCAACTTTTCTTGAATGAATCTTTCTGGAACACTCCCTAAAATCACGAGGGGAAACTGTACCTGTTGAATTTCAGCTGCCAGGTTTTGATTGTTTTCATAACTTAAATGAAGAGCAGTGCAGTAGAGGTGTAGCTCTGTGGGTTAGAACCTCTTATGGGGCCCTGCAAGTTAAGTTATCTACAGATCGAGTATCAATCAGCTAGAGAATCAGTGTGGTGCGAACTTACTCTATAAGGCAAAGATAGCCTCCTCATAGGAGTCATTTATAGATCACCTAACAGTTCCTCTGATAACAATAAAGTACTAAACAGCCTTTTACCGAGCATGACTTTCAGCAGGTCGCATACGTTGATCGTTGGTGACTTTAACCATCCAGAAATAGACTGGGCAGATGAATCTTCTCCAAGAGATGGGAATCACCCAGCATTCTTGGAGTCTGTGCGAGACTCATTTTTAATCCAGAACATCGCCAAGCCAACCCATTTTAGGGGTAAACAGACCCCAAATATTCTAGATCAAGTGTTTACTAGTAAACAATCAATGATAGATGAGCTTCGTCTCGAGGCTCCGTTGGGTAAAAGCCACCATCAATCATTGTTTTCCAGTAAAGTGCTGTGCAGAAAAGACACTTCGAAAGCGTGAACGTTTGAACTTTGCGAAAGGCAACTATGATAAACTCCGTGAAGCGGTGAATGCGGCGAATATTTCGGATTGTATTAAGGACATGAATGTGGCTGATTCATGGTCATTTCTCAAAGACACGGTTATGTCAGCATTTGATACCTGTGTACCTAATATTAAGCTTGGAAGAGTCAAGAAGTCCCAGTGGATGAACAGTACAGTTAAAGCTCAGCTAAAGAAAGACCAAGAAAGAAGCCTACAAGCGTTATTTACAAACTCGCAGCGATTCTGATTATAACCTGTATGCAAGAGCTCGAAATCAAGCTAAAAAAGTCTGTCGCACTTGCAGTAAAAAAAACTTCGAAAAAATATTGCTAAAAATGCAAAAAAGAATCCGAAAGCCTTATTTTTGTACGCTAGTTCGAAGTGCAAGACAAACGACGGTATATCTGACTTGAAAGTAGACCAACGAAAGTTGTCCTCTGATGAGGGCAAGGCTAACATTCTTAATCAGTTCTTCAGCAGTGTGTTCACAGAGTTAACAGGTTTTGAAATACACGAAGAAGATGTTCTCAAGCGCCTGGTAGCTCTAAATCCCAACAAGTCATGTGGACCAGACGGCTTCCATCCCAGATTGCTCAAAGAATTAGCAACCGTTCTGGCCGGCCCATTGACTGTATTCTTTCAAAAAACCTTGAACGAAGGAACATTGCCGTCCGATTGGAAAGAAGCTCAAGTAACACCATTGTTCCAAAAAGGTGACAAAAGTAGACTCGGTATCTATCGCCCTGTCAGTTTGACCAGTGTTGTTTGTAAGGTAATGGAATCTCTTGTGAGGGATAGGATTATCGATCACTTGACTGTTCACCATCTCTTATCAGATTGTCAACATGGCTTTATTGTCGGTAGATCCTGCACTACTAACTCATTGTCTACGTTGAACGATTGCATGGACTCGCCTTCTGGACGAAAGGGAGCCAGTGGATGAATTGTACCGCGATTTTGCCAAAGCATTTGACAGTGATCCGCATGAGCGGCTGTTGCGTAAAGTGAAGTCGTTGGGAATTGAGGGAAACGTACTACAATGGATCAGAGACTTTATAGTAGGGGGACGACAACGTGTCAGTATTAACGGAAACGTTTCAGACTGGGCATCAGTGCGCAGCGGCGTGCCACAAGGAAGCGTTCTTGGGCCTATTTTGTTCGTTGCTTTTATAAATGATCTGCCAGAAGTAGTGTCCAGCGTGTGCTCCATGTAAGCCGACGACACAAAAGTTTATAATTCAGTGAAGGATGCGTCAAATAAAGCGCAATTACAAGATGATCTTGACAGTTTAGTTAACTGGGCTGATACGTGGCAGCTACGGTTTAATGCTGACAAGTGTAAAGTACTTCACCTCGGGAAGAACAATGAATAGCAAGATTACAGTATGAGAAGACATGGTTGCAACGAGAGAGTAATGATTGAAAAGTCTAGTGTGAAAAAAGATCTCGTAGTTTATGTCGACAAGGAGCTGAAATTTGCTAAGCATGTTGAAACGAAAGCTATAATACATCCCACAAAATTCTTGGTCTAATCAGATGCTCTTACGAGTTCCTAGATGCAGAAGCGATGAAGCAGTTGTTTGTTGCTGTCGTGCGCCCGAATCTAGAGTTTAGAAACGTTGTGTGGTCACCGAGATTTGAAAAGGACAAAAATTTAATGTCCATGCGACAACATTTCTTCTCGCTTCGAATCACTGGCATGTGGAACAGCCTCCCCGATTACGTCGTTGGCGCTCCGAGTATGAACGCGTTCAACAACAGACTAGATAAAGCTATGTTCAGATTTGAAATGCCTAGCACCGTATCGAACCTGGTGAAAGTCTAGTAGCTATGTCAAACTATCGTCAGTCCTGAAAAGATCAGGTCAAATGACAAGATTTTAGATCTTCTATGAACAAGTCACGAAATGTTCAAGATTCGGCGATAGCTAGGCCACATCAGGCCTACTCTTTAGCGCCGACTTCACTATGTTATGTTATGTTAATAAAAAATATAACTCAGTACTCACTGAAGTGAGTGACAGAGAGCGCATTTTCTCGTCGACAAAAACGTGAAGTCACGGACAGACGGACGGAAAATGACGAGCACAATAGAGAATTTTTTCCATAAATGAGAAAATGCGCTAAAAATACATTATTTCCAGAGGATTTGAATGTTTAAAATGAATACTTCTGCAAAGTTTATAATTTCCCTCCATTGTTTCTGTATGCCGTATTTACAGGTACTGTGTAATATCTATCTTTCAAATTCATACTCTTTGAATATTCACGCACTTTCATGCTATGTTACTTAATGTAGCGAAAATTCCTTGATGTAAACCACGTTCACAGTTGTAGTTTCATTATTGAGCAACCTTCAAATTAAGGGAAAGTTTGCTCATAGGTAAAAACTTTTAAATAGATAAAAAAATAATTTCTTCAAAATTCGTTAACTATGATTTTTTATGAGGGTTTATCTTATTTTCATGATCGAACCGCATACGATCTTTCATTGTACTTTTTTGTATTGTAAATCTCTCGTAATTTTGAGTTAAGTTACGGATTAGCCCATGCATGGTATTGTAGGTGATAGCATAAAAATACCGAATATATGATTAATGTTAATGGTCGTCATTATATATTTGGAAATTTTTGATAATCGATCACTTGATTCAATACATATTTTACAAGATCACAGATAATAACCAACATCGATCAAAGTAAGATTGACGACTCATGAATTTTTCCAATCTGAAGACTTTCTTTGTTCATAACTTTCTATATCTCCAGGTCTGTATGAGTTTTAAGCTATTAAATATCAGTGGAAAGATTAAGGAAGACAACACACATTTATCATTTATTATTTTATTTTACAGCATTTGGCGCTATAGTAGGATCCTACTTCTAGTATCCTACTCCTAGTTCATTTTTAAGCATTTTAAAGTATATACGAGTGTCCCTGCCTTCTCCTGCGCTGCTACTGATCAAACCAATGCTAAGGTGCATCATATAAAAACAGTTCTAGACATTCAAGAAAAAGATTTTGGATGATTAATTGTATCAGCAGACATTAAGAAGCTCATTACATATTTTAAATTCTCCTTACAGATGTACTATTTATTGTACTATGTACTATAAACGTCACGACAAATGCAACGCCACGGATATACACGGAGTCGCCTCGAAGATTTCTGAAGTTTGCATAAATTTCCATGCAGAAAATTGACGCCAGATTTCGCAAGCGTTTGATTTTGAAGTGATATTGACGTTAAAAAAGGCATTTATGAACAGAATCAACTTTGTTTTAGTGTAGAAAGAAGAATAAGAAGAACCAGGAGGTACAGGCTTCCCATTAAGTGCCATTTGGTCATCACATGCCGAGACAGGTCACCAGAAAAAAGGTGTTACAAATACTCAAGGGTTGAAAGGGTGGAAATGTGTGAGTTTATAACGTAAGATCAGCTGGACATGTTAATGATTGGAAGGATTTGACGGCGCTGAGGGGATGCACGCAGGATCGAGGTGGGGAATATAGGGGACACAGGACGAGCAGGCAGGATGTCGAGGGGAGGTCATCTTTTCCGTGATAAGGACACCGGAGTTCCAGCTTATCCTGTAACGTACAATTCGTTAGATTTAGATATTTACAATTTTTGTTTGATAACCAGAGAAAAATGTAATTTATTCGTGATTGTGCGTTGGCACAATCTATAAAGAAACGTGAGTTAGCTGACGAAGTATAGTAACAATTTTAATTAACGATTTATAGATGCGGCGAAGGAACTACACATTGTCCAATTAATCCTAATTATTATGAATAATCATTGCTTTAAAAACTGAAAACACATATCTCATGAGCCTAAAAAACTTCGATCAGTTTTTGAAAATCTGATCAATGACTTCACTTTACAAACTAAAATTATTTTTCATTGATCCGTTTACTATCCTTATAAGTAAAAAAATTAGAGCTCAGTTATTTGGCTTAAATTTTTAATGAATAACTTCTTAATTAATATCAATTTTGCTGGCTATAGTGTAACTTCTGTTAAGTGTAAATCCTATCGATACAATAACTTAAATTATGTTATTTAAATCGAATCGAGATTAAAAAGATTAGCTGCGGTAGCTGTAAGAAGCCGCATTGCCAGAAATGCCGCTTTTTCTATCACTTGCGAGGGCAATGTCCACCGGTCGACTGTTGACGACATTCGTCAAGTCTAATCTTCTTGGGTTTCTGCTTCGAAAGCCGAAGTTGGAACCAGTCTGCTGCTGCAAAAATGGATTCCCGAAAACGCTGCCGGTGTTGGCAGTGAGCCTCTCAAAGCGCGGGAAGAGTTCAACATCGTTGCGGTTGTCATCGAACAGCAAGCCTCCGCCGAGGTTGGCTAAGGCATTAGCGTCTCTGTATCTTAGTTCTAGTTGGTCATTATCTACCAAACCGTTATTTAAGAACCGGGAGAGACCAGATCTCAGGAACCGAGGCGAGTTCAGAAGAGAATTTGGCGAAATCGGCCTTCCTCCTAAGTTAGTACCGGTAAAAATGCTAGGATTTGTTCCTAATGTATTTGTTGGGAATTGACTCTGCCCAAAGCTATTAATTCCAACTGAATTGAATGGGAAATTATTGGGAGTGAAGCCATTAATTCCAAATGAGTTTAATGGTAAATTATTGGTTGCAATGCCATTAATTCCAATTGAGTTTAATGGTAAATTATTGGGAGCAATGCCATTAATTCCAAATGAGTTTAATGGTAAATTATTGGGAGTAAGGCCATTAATTCCAATTGAGTTGATTGGTAAATTGTTGGAAGCAATGCCATTAATTCCAATTGAGTTGAATGGTAAATTATTGGGAGTGAGTCCATTAATTCCAATTGAGTTGGATGGTAAATTATTGGGAGCAATTCCATTAATTCCAATTGAGTTGAATGGGTTATTATTGGGAATAAAGCCATTAATACCGAATGAGTTTGCTGGGACATTATTGAAATTAAAGCCATTGTTTCCGAAGGGAGGGATTGGGAAATTATTGTTATTATTAAAGGCGTTAGTTCCAAAGGGAGGGATTGGGAGGTTATTGGTATTAAATCCGTTCGTTCCGAATGAGTTAAGTGGAAAATTGTTGAAATTGTTGAGTCCATTAGTGCCTAATAAATTAAATGGACGAATATTGGTATCAAGTACATTAGCACCAAGTGAATTAAAAGAATTGGTATTGAAATCTAAACCGCTGGTTCCTGAACGCAGTGATTGAGACAAGAAATTTTGCCGGGAAATATCGTCCGGGTTGAAAGTTCCGAACCCAAGAAGGCCCGAGTTTAAGCCGCCTGGGAATAGCCCACTAAATAATGACGTTCCAAACAGATTACCTGATCCCAGTCTGTTGGGGTTGTACAAGTTTTGAATGCCATTGTTCCCGAAGCCAGTGTTCTGTAGTCCGGTTCTTAGACCGCTGGTGTTGCCAAAATCACCAATGCGGGACGTGCTAACGAAGTTTCTGTTATTGACGCCCAGGTTGCCGAAGTTTGTAGACTGGAGGCCAGTGGGGTTACCGTCGCGGTCGATTAGTCCCAGGCTTCTGTTACGATGGGAGATGAGGAAAACGTTATAAAATTACTTTACTTTCTTCTGATATTTTTTAACTCTGCAGATGTAGATTTAAAAAATACATTATTGAGTTGGCAGTGAATATATGGGTTAGGTTCAATTCAGTATCACAAGATAATTCACTTTATTTCTCACTAAAATTCTTCTAACAAAGCACAAATATCAAAAACAGCTTCTAATTAAACAACAATGTGAGATATTTGAAGCTACAGCATTTTAAGAGGATTTTTAGTCTCTAATCAAATCAATTATTTTTCGTTTGGAAACATCAAATGAAAATGAGAAAAGTAAATGGAAATTGGTGAAGAATGTTTAGGAATATATTGCTTGAAAGTTTTTGTGTAGTTAATTATGTATTTATGATCATCTAATATTAATGCCAGCAGTTTGGGGTGCAGAATTAAGTAAGAAAGTTTAAGTAAATTATATATAACTTTAAATTGCTGAACTCCGACATTACTTATTGATATTTATTAAAAAATATTCAATATTTAAATTTGAAAAATTTCAAACTACAAAGCTTCTAACCTAATTAAATTATTATACCGGCAGCATGGACGCACCGACATAGCACTATTATGACAACAGGAAATAAGTTATTCTAAGTGTTATAGATCGACGAATGAGAGCACATAATTTTTACACCTGCACTTTCATTCACATAATTTATGAATAAACGAAAATACTCTACTTATACGTGCCCGAACCCTTACGGTCAAGGTCCAACATACTTATCAGCTCTGCCAATCTATGGTGTACGTTTGTCAAGCTTTGGTATGTGTTTTTAAAGTTCTAATTCAAGTTTATCAGATTCCGGTGTACGGCTTTCAAGTTCTGGGGTTAATTTGTAAAGTTTCGGTGTATGTTTGTCAATTTCTGGTGTAGATTTATCAAGTTCTAATGTAAATTTCTTAAGTTCTGATGCATATTAGTTAAGTTCTGGGAAAAATATTTTTACATGTTCATTGATAAAAATGTTCGGACCTGGCTCGTTGGGCGGCTAGGACCTGGAGACGCGAGTGTTCAGGCATGACGGGCAAGTTTGGACTCTCCACCTGGAAGCCGTTCTCGTCCGCTACGTACCTAACGCTCACGGGGATACCTTCAGGAGACGTGTACCTGCCAGGGGACCGAATTGTGAGGTGAGCTCGGGACAATTTGTACGTTACGTACTTGTATGTAATATTTGTTCCGATAAATAGTAAATTTTGCACATATTTTAATTTTTTAGATACCAATAGGAGATTTTAGACGCTTGTTGATCAGTAAACCTGGTAATTGGAACCAAATGTACGAGGGATCACATGGGTTTGATAATTTTTCATGTGGCATACGCTTCTGTAAATCAACAAATATTTTCCTAGCTAAGTTCTGGAACAATGGTGGGTTGGAATAAGATTAATCGGTCAATTAACAATTGTTAATTCAAACTCAGGACCGAAATGCACTCTTTCGGAACAGGCGATTTGAGCACCAGCAACAGCTCTCCATCATCACTGTTCCGTGACAAACGAGCTTGAAAAAGTTAATCTTAGTATTTAACTTTGAAATATTTCCCACACATACTCCTTAAAAGCAAAATTATCCAACATAAAAATAAAGTTAGCATTACAAGACTAGTGGTAGCAGCAAAACTAATAACTGTTTTAAAAAATAAGGGTGTGTGCGGAATCTTATTCATGAACTCACGAGTATGAGCCTGTGACGGCGCGCGAGTTGGGGCCAATCAGACGACTAGCTTGTTGTTGAGTGATGCCGTTGTCGGTTGCGAATCTGGGAAGTAAATTGAATATTTATCGTAGGAGTAAGAGCAGGCAAGAATTTACGATATTATTCTGCTGTTAGATGTTTAATTTATTCATAAGAATATTTTAATCTTGATTATGCGAATGCTCGCTTTCAAGATTCAGTGATTAATTCAAAGTTCGGATTTAGAATTGTATGATGTTTTTTTATAATTTTGATTCTCCCTTTCGCTTCCAAGCGACAATAGAGGTGTTGCTGGAATACATACGATATCGGAAGAAAAATAAATCAGAACTTTGATAAAAATAAAATAAAGTCTTCATCAAAATTAAAATTAACTTACTGATAATCGTATTGTCCAAGCCCATCATTGGAAGCGTCGTACAGTAATGTTCTAGACAGGCCTTCAGGTGTGGGGACCTGACTGCCAAAGTTTGAGGGACTGCCGAGAAGTCTGTTGCCTGACCTCAGACCAAGACCAGGGTTGTTGTTCAGAAATTGGTTTGTTTCAAAGCCACTTCCGAAGCCGTCGGCATTATTGAACTGGGTATTTACCAATCCATTACGAAGCTGAGAGGTTCCCAAGCCGTTCCCAAATCTTGATCCGAATTGCTGATTTTGCAGCGAATTATCAGAAAATGGAGTTCGTCCAATCTGACCATCAAAAATCTCATCTGTGTCGAAGCGGTTTCTAGTTCCAAACGGATCTGAAGATCCAAGGCGATTGGTAGATCCAAGCTGATTGGAAGATCCAAACCGATTAGTAGATCCTAGCTGATTGGAAGATCCAAGCTGACTTGGAGATCCAAGAAGGTTGGAAGAACCAAGTTGGCTGGATGAACCACGCTGGCTAGAAGAACCAAGCTGGCTGGAAGAACCGTGCTGGTTGGCAGAACGAAGTTGGTTGGGAGAACCAAGCTGGTTGGAAGATCTCAACTGGTTGAGTCCAAATTGATTCGTAGAATCGAATTGACCATTTCTTCCTAGTGCTCCTAATTGGTTCACCGATCCCGGTTGGCTGGTCAGTCCCAAGTTGTTCCTGAGAAGTTGGCTCGTGCTGACAAATTGATCCGTTGTACCCAAGTTGTTCGACGATCCGAGTTGGCTTGTAAATCCGACGTTATTTCTCCGTCCAAACTGGTCTGACAATCCGAATTGGTCCGAAAATCCAAGGGTTCCAGCTGTGCCTACAGTTCCACCCTGATTGAAGTCAGACGTTCTCGTAGATCCAAACTGATTCAGTGAACCAGCACTGCCTCCAAACTGATCTTGGTTTCTGAATTGCGAGAGTTGACGACCTGTTCGAGGTCTTGTGTTGGCAGTAGACTCGTCTTCGATAGAAATGTCATCTCGAGAATCTTTGTGATTAGCCAAAAGTGAATCTTGGTTCATTTCTCGGTCAGCTCGGACAGGGGAGCCAAGCTGAACTATAGTCACGGTGCACAGCACCAACCAGTACATCTGTAGATACAACAAAAACTGTTTTACTACCTTCCATAATGAAAATACATTCATAGATTATCATGTATCAAATGTATTTAGTTTCTAAGCTAGTTTTACATTTTCTCGCTGTTTCCATTTTATTTCATTTATTAATAATGCACTTGTATCATTAATTTGCGCATATGCATGCAAGACATTGAGAACAACAAATTTGTGACAAAAAAGCTACATTATGCGTTCGAAGATTGTCTGAAAGCAGCATATATACTGAGCTAGCGCACACACGAGGAATGATATTTTTGAGATTATATTTAATATTATTTTTAAAAAATATTGTCGTTTTAGCTATATTTTCTAGCTGCTCGGTTTCAATCTTTCACGTGTGCATTGGGAATTCAGGTAGGATATAGTGGATGAATCCGCTTGTATTTCTGATTACAAACTGTAAGCTCGTTATTTGCATTTCTAAAACGTTACAGGCTTTAATGTTGGACAAATCAACTCGGTGATTCTGACGGTATAAAGCGAGTAGTGGCATGATTAAATTCAGCTTCAATTTTCAATTGTCTATTGAATCTTTTGTGACATTCATAATTTCTATTCATTCCCGTATTAATTGACGTGTGCTCATATTGAAATGTTCTGCATCCATAGGTATTCTACAGCTAAAATATACTCACCATTTTCCCCATAGTTTAAAAGCTTTTCTGAAGAAGTGTCCAACGAATTGCCTGCAAAATTGAAAAAAAAATTGGTTAGACATCCAAGGTGGTTCAGTGCTAGTGTATTCAATTTTGAATAAAATGTATGTATATCAATGCCAAGGTTTTTGGCTGCCATGATAGAAATGAATGCTATTGTATTCAACTTGCTTCCGTTTCTCAGGTGAATGATATTGCACTCAATTTGTTAATATCATGAATATGGTTCCGTTTAGAGATGAATTTTAATGCATTTAATATGTTAATGCCGTACATTCATTACCGTGCTGGAGGTGAATGTTAATGCATTCAATATGCTAGACGTGATTCCTAGGAGGCGGATGAATGCTCGATGGTAAACTTTCCTCTAAAATACTCGAGTTGATTAACTAGTGAATTCCTTGCTTCAACTTGCTGTTGTTTATTTCAGAAGAACATTTAACGCTATGAATTTATAAAAAAAAGTTACAGATCTAGATCAATTCCATACAATAAAATCTTAGTTAATCGATTATTAGTGACTATCATATTCAGTACCAATTATGACTAATAAATAATTTATCGGATAGATTTGATTGATAAATTTAGAAATATATTTATGACTAAATTAGCCGATAATTGAATGACTATATGATTAAATGTATTTCACGTGTGCAATAAATGACTAAATTTATTAAAAATGTGCAATAACAGCAACTAAAATTAATCATGTAATGAAATATTATTTATAAAAAATAGTTACTAGCGTTAATTTATCATAATAAATTATACCTGATTTTCTATTTATTCTAGCTCCGTACCTGAGACTGATGAGCGATGACCAGATGTTTCAGGGGAGCGCCGCGGTGCGAGTGTGCTCAACATGCAAAGCGCCTGCCCTTAAATACTCGCGGGAAGTTGGGCATTCCTGGGCATAGCATTGCCATGCTCTCACATTATCTGATGCAATTGTTAAGGTTGAACGGACAGCTATAACGAAGGGCCAGGCCGGCCTCTAAAATGAATACAATGCGGGCAACATGTTTCGTATTCGGTACACGAATGCAGGAATCGCGACATAATACGTTTGGGTGAGCAGCTTATGCGCTGCGCACGAGTGATGCACGAATACGAAGCGGTCGAGAAGAATTATTAACTTATATTCGTCAGAATTTAATACAATTGGTCATTCTTTGAGTGTTTATGATAAATCAGTTCATACGAGTACTTCGACGCGAAAAATTTGTGTTGACGCGAATTTTTAACCGTTCCCTCGGCTCCGTATCATATTACTGAACTCGCGTATCGTTCAGTCTTGATTTCAAGAATTCTTACTTTCCAAGGTCTCATTCTGTATTATTTATAACATTGTAATTCTTAACAGGAGCGTTTTTAATGTATTTTCTCGACATTATGTTTGAATTCAACCTGGATGTACACTAACTGAAATTGTAGGTGGTACATTCATACCTGATGGATCATGAAAGTGAATGTGAAACACATTTGGAAATTTGTTCACTATTAACAGACGGAAAATTCTTACGCGTGATGTGATACGGCACAGGTGATTATACTGAGGCAAAACACGTTATGTGTTTTGCACGTTAGGCAAAACATGTTATAAAACACGTCATACAACACGTTACAATTAACACGTTATGAAACACGTTGAGGCAAAACACGTTATACGCTAAGGTGATTATACTGAGGCAAAACACGTTATGTGCATTGGCTACACACTTTTCGTCATCAAGTAATGAGCTTTATTTTCTTAGAGCAATAGATTTTGTGTTTCCTGCAATTACTTTACGTGTTCTGTAAAAAAATGCATCGAAATATCCTACTTTTTGCTTTAAAAGAAGAACTGATCATTTGGTGTCAGTTAGAATGATTTGAGCTAGGTAATAATAAGTTCTTCTCTGTGATTAAGTAAACCTTGCTTACAGTGATTACTAATTTTAAAAGTTATCAATTGCTTCACATGTCTGGTCCGGCGTGTACAAAGCGATTTTCCTCTATAATTAATATTGGCTGAATGTGCGCTGAGTGCATTTTCAGATGTCGTCAATTTTTTTCCACAAGTTAACAACGTACAATTTTTCACACGACACTCAGAGGAATGAGTGAGACTTGGTCTAAAGAGCGATGCACTCTGGCTCTTATTTTTATCATCCTGACGTACCCACTTGACCTGGAAAAGCGGCGTATCAGAGCTGCACTCGCTCTCTGTTCATGCTGTGGGTAAGAAAGCGTGTTATTATTTGGACAATACTTCACGTTAATTTTCATTGGTCAATAGGTTTCACGTATATATATAGGACGCGTACGTATTACGTTCTCAACTGCTCCGTAATTGTGGTGCGGCTATCCCTATATAGCTGGACGGGGAACTGAAACCAACTTTATTGATCTAGCGTTGACTTCTGTTTCTGTTTGGATAATTATGTCTACAGTTGCAACAACTATAACCAGAAACTGCTTATGTTCGTCCTTGTTAAAAGAGAGTTTCTTGTATTGTAGTATATTGCAAACAGTCATATCAAACATTCCTTTTGTTTCACTTGCTGTTGTAATTCTGATAATATGGTCTGATGTTTTGTTTATTCGATATACCGTGCAACTTCCTCTGAACGAGATTTAATAACGTCATCCCTGTAAACTCTGCAATTGACCAAGAGAACCACAACAGCTTCCATCATCAGTTCCAGGCCTATGCATGGTGTCTGCATGACAACTATACTGGGGCCATACTTTCAAAACTCGTTAAGTTAGCGTAAGTACTTACGCTCTATTTTCTTGTCTATGATTGGTGGATTTGGCTTGAAAGGCCGTCAATGATTGGCTGATGAACTTACGATCTCTTAACTTTTTTTGAAATTATAGGCCCTAATCTTGCTCTTAAAAGTGTGCCTGCTCAATTCAAGCTACCTGCATTTGTTGCTGTTGCATCAAACTCCATTAAATTTATTTAGTTTGAGTATGAGTCGATTAATTGATTATTAATGATTGATTTCAATTAATCGAACAGCGCCGTTGTTCGATGCCATATTTCACCGCACTTTGGTTCGTGGAAGATTAGCGTTCATCAAACATTCAATAAATATTTGACGTATCATCAAACTATAAAATAATTAAATAATATCAATCATCAATAAACTAAATGTCACATGCAAATTAAGCATCATAAACAGCTGAGGCTGTTGCATGACCGGTTCCTATATATAGTATCTTGTGTACTGATCGTAGTTTGTCAACTCCTTCGTACAAGAATTGAAGGCGTTTTGAAGATTTTCTCCACTAAAGTCTTCAAGTAATTTTACTCCAAAGTGGGATAGGAAAACGGATGTAAACATAACCATTGGAGTGAATTCAGTTTTTCAAATCTTCAGTAATATTTAACTGACGTTCGATTTGCTCCTGACGAACGGAAGAACAGGCGGCAGCTTGAGTCGAATGGAGAAAAGGCTCAATACATTAGTTCAACTTGGGCTCAATTTGCCTCTTTTGAGGCATGACAATTAAGGGCTTACCACCTAAGTACTGAACGCTTCTTCTTCAGAATATTTCTCTTCAGTTGTATAGTTTATTCTTCAAACGGCGACGAAAAAGCCAGACCGACGGTTTATTTGAATATTCATTAATGGCTCTCTGAATGTTTTCACTTTTTACAAGTCGTCTTGCCTCCTCATTCCAGCCAATTTCCATTTCAGTATCAAAAGCACCCACTTTTCCTTAACGTCCATTATACTCTGTAAGCGACAACAAATGTCCTGGAATGATTGTCATTCCAAGTGTATTGTCATGAAGGATAACAAATACATCGATTTTCAACATTTCATCGGTTTGGGATAATAGTCTATTTTTCATCCAGCTAACATGGATATAAGCTTTTTGCAAAAAAATATAATAATAAAACACGGTCAGTAGGCCGCACATCTGTCTGTATTATAATATTATCAATGATTCAGTTAAGGTTACTATCAATGATTCTTTATGCTTATCAGTTTGCCAGGATTCGTGTTATGATTGTCAGAATACTAATTAATGCATTCGGATACAATTTCAAATGAGATAGTTAATTAACTAGATGAATTATATTCTGAAACATGATTAAGTTCTCTTCTATACTCAAGCAACAAAACTTCGCTGAGGCTGTGACATTTGACAAGTTTAATATGTATCATAATGTATCATGCACGTATAAATAAACATAATCGCAATGTTTAAATTTTATGTTACTATACACTGAGTGAAATGGGTGGGTCTGGATGACCGACCCCGTAAGATGAGTCAACCGCATCCTAATAACGATGCACTTTCTTGACTCACTTGCCCCATTTGTGGGTGGGTCACTCTGACCTATTACTGGCCCTTTAAATTTCAGGTATGACTCACTTCTGGCATTTAATCGCTTTTGACAACTCCCGTAGCATGAATACGTCGGTAGCCCCAGCTAGGGCGCAGTAGCGATTTAAAGCCACAATTAAGTCATACCTGAACCTGAATTCATACCAATTAAGTCATACCTGAAAGGACCAATAATAGGTCAGTATGACCCGCAAATGGGACAAGTAAGTCAAAAAGTGCATCGCTATTTGGACGCGGTTGACTCATCTAAGTGGGTCATCCAGACTCACCAATTTCTCTCATTGATAAGCAATACTACACAAGTAAATTTGTGGCTAATCTTGACCTAAGTTCAAGTATTTTAAAGCTCAGCCTCATCTTCTAAACAATTCCTTATCGCATGAAAATTTCTACTATATTTCCCTTCCCATAAATTAAAATAATGAAAGAGTCTTACTGAAAAAATCAATGGCAGTATTCCATTCTCCAAAGTTCCACGGTGATCTTGGAAACAGTTTTAACTTGCATGAATGGCGGATGTATTTTTCTCTCTGGCCGTACGTAGATTGCCTGATAAAAGAGAGATTAGGCACACAGTTTTGTGTTTTACCAAAGCTGTGTATGTCTGTTGACCTTAACATTTAGCGAGTGATATCATGAACACGGTTCTCAATATCCGAGCTCGTGGTCAAGTTCATAATGTTATCGAGATACCAACGTTCCTACGGGTTCAGTATATGATGATTGGTTTAAGTTGTTATCAAGCGGAAAATAGTGGCTGGCGCTAAAATCTCACATCACTCTTTTACTCCTAGATTAGCATAGATGAGTATTACCAAAAAGTAAACAATGAGGAGAATTTATTTAAATTTTCATATGATCAGCGTATATATAAATGTGCGAGTCGTCTTATTATAAGTTCGTATCGTCTTACCAGTGCGTCCTGAGGAATATAATCATGCAACAGAAATATTAAAATTTACTTCGTTTTTAGTGATATGTTGCTCGGGTGCAGTGGTCCGTATAAATGTGGTGGCGGCAGACATCATCATCAAATACGCGAGAAGCTGTGACGAGGGTGATGGTGTCGTCATCAAATGCGCTTGGTGTCTTGATGCACCGCAAGCAGCAGTGCACCGCAAGCAGCGGTGCACTGCAAGCAGCAGTGCACCGCAAGCAGCAGTGCACCGCAAGCAGCAGTGCACCGCAAGCAGCAGTGCACCGCAAGCAGCAGTGCACCGCAAGCAGCGGTGCACCGCAAGCAGCAGTGCACCGCAAGCAGCAGTGCACCGCAAGCAGCAGTGCACCGCAAGCAGCAGTGCATAATGTTTATTTATTTTGCAAGAAGTGATTGGCCGAAATTTTTCCTAAAAATCTAAAATTTCATCACCTCCATCGATTTTCTTAGCTTTTCTTGGTGATATTTTTTCAATCGCGTAAAATAATAATTAACTATGGTAAATCTCATAAAGTTGTAAAATATATGTTAATGGACATATGATTTGACTACTAATTATGTA